CTGGCACATCACTCTGCTGCAGACAAAGGATACTTGATTTTTGTAAATTGGTGCCACAGTCATTTAAATCTGGAAGGAATACAGCATGCAGACAGTCTGGTGGTGACTGGGGGTGAAGGGCATGTGACCTAAGAGGTGGTGTTCCTCTCTGATTTGAGTAACAAAGAACCAGCCTGTGCCTGTGTACGCCAGCAGGATAAATATCCTAATTTCACCAGTGGTCCGTGTCAGTGCAGCTGCATGAAAACTGAGCTGTCACTGGAGACAAAACTTTGTCTGTCCTTTGTTGTTGTGTTGTGAGAGCCGGAGCAATGAGATGAGGGTGAAGATCAGCAGCCCTGCCTGGGCACCCTTCTGGCTGCAAAGGCAGGTGCAAGGATGAGGGCACCGATTCCTGCACATGCAGAAGAGCAAATGCCCTTGATCACTAAAAACTGGGGAGGCAGGGGGGGAAAAAACCCATGTTTTCTTGTATCAGCCCCCTGCGGAGGCAAAGAAAAGACTGCCATACGTTAATGGGCCACTTTCATAAATGTGGGAGCCTCATGCATGCAGAGTGGCTCGGCCTGTCTGAGCTGATGCAGCTGTCAACCTGTTTGTCTAGAAAATGCTTCTCTGAAAGGTATGATTATTCTAGACTGTTGAGCAAGTTCTTCTGTGTGAATGCATTTAAACAACTCCAGTGGTACGTGTGGAAGGACTGAAAACGAAGAGGGAGGGGGCAACATTTTCAACAGGCCCGGGAGGGCAGAAGAGGAGGTTGTACTGCTTGTGCAAGGACACCAGTATTGTCTTCTGTCAGGTCTCTCATCATCCTGTGCCACACGTCCTGTGTGGGTGTGCTCTCTTTGGGGAGATGACTGCTGGGGCAGTGAGGATGGGAGCAGTGTGAGCTGTGGGGGTAGATGCATTCCTGCCTGTGCAGGGCCATGCCCTGTGTTGGCTGTGCTTAGATACCCACAAAACATCCTGTAATGATGCTTCTTAAAAGCCTGGCTTTGGCCCTGGTGAAGGCATCCTTCCCCACCTGCCCTGGGGTGTGCAGAGCACCCCAAGGGCAGTGCTGAGGTCTGGCTCTGTCGTCGTCAGGTGGGGAGGAAATGGGCAGCAGGCTCTGGGGAGACCCTTTGTTTGCTCGTGTTATTAGCAAGGAGCGAGGAAGTAATGATTTATTGATGCTTCTGTGATTCTCCTACACCGGGCTATGAAGGAAGAAATTCAGTTTCCTGGCTGATATTCATGGCTCTAATTAAGCAGTAACTTGTTCCTTCAGGGCTGGTCACCTGCAGGGTGTGCTGACAGTGCCCTTGGTTCTCTGATCCAGTGCCCCCTAGCCAGACTGGCCTGTGATTGTCAAGGGTCACTGCTCTGCTCTCCCCCTGCCCCTTGCTGCAGCCAGGCAGGTTGTGGGAGGCTGCATATAGACCCCAGTGTTTCTCTGCTGCAGCATTTCATTTGATTAAATCAGAAATATCTGATAGAGGGGGTGGCAGCCATTCCCTTCTGGAGTGAGATGCCAGTAGGAATGTGGATCAATACTTCACCAAATACCCCTTGATCTTCATGGTACATTGGGCAGAAGGTGGTGCCCTGTTGGAGCCTCTTGGCCACAGCCTGGGCGCTGTCACCTCATGCTGACCAAGGAGAACCCTGCGCTCACCCCAAAAGGGCCAGTACCTTCCCCTGCCATCAGTGCCCTGTCCCTGCCCCCTTCTCCGCCTTTCCAGAGCCGCTGGCGTGGCTGTGCCTGGTGAGCTGGTAGCTGGTGAAGGACACAGTTAACAGCTCTCGTGCTGCGGTGGTTGCTCGGGGCTCTGCCAGCCCCCACCCGTGCAGCTCCAGTAAATCCCGCTGAATTCCTGGGCTTTGCTTTGTACGTCTCCTTTGACAGCACACTGTACAGCAATGCCCTCTTCTTGCATTCCTGTGCTTCCATGTGAGCCTTAGCTTAGTCTGCTATGAGCAGGGTTTTTTCATCTCTGTATCCCAGAGCATGGGATGGGGCAGGATTGCAGCGCAGGGCTGTGTGGGGCTTCTGAGGACCCAGCTCCTGCTGGGTCCCAGGGAGGAGGAGATCATAGGTGAGACCTTGGCAAACCCGACTTCTGCTCCCATGCAACCCATGCTTCTTTCAACTGCAATGTGCATATTCATCCATCCTTCTCAAACAAAGCAGTGTCATTTTGGTTAACCCGAGGAGTGTGTGGATTCCTTCGAACCACATGACCTATGCAGGATTCTATTTTCTATTTTTTAATTTTATGACTACAGTTCAGGGGATCCCCAATGCTGGGTTTCCTACAAACTTAGAATGCAAGGCAGCCCTTGTACTGACAACCCTGCTGCTCCCCCAGCTCAGCTGAGAAAGGGAGGAGATGATTTATGAGCAGCATCAACAATGTCATAAAGTGCAAGTGGCAAGTTAATGCTACTTTTTTATTCCAGCCCTTTGACAGGGCCCTGTTAATGGAGGGTTGGGGAGCAGAAACAAAGGAAAGAGCATGGCAGCTAAAAGCCAGTTGTCACAACACTGTTGCATTAGTGTGAAGATGTCGTGTTTTATCAGAAAGGAAGCACCCTCTCCATAAGAAATGGCACTGCACAGCAAGGAGCAGCTCTATAGAAGCACCTCTCCTATGAAGACAGGCTGAAAGAGTGGGGAGAGAAAGCTTTGGGGAGACCTCATTGCTTCCAGTAAAGGGAGCTTATGAAAAGATGGAGAATGACTCTTTACACAGGCAGGTAGTGATGGGAGAGAACAGTTTTAAACTAGAAGAGGAGATATTTAGATTAGATGTTAGAGAGAAGTTCTCTACTTGGAGAGCTATGAGGCATTGGAACAGGTTGCCCAGAGAAGTTGTAGATGCCTCATCCCTGGAAGTGTTCAAGGCCAGGTGCAATTGGGGCTCTGGGCAACCTGGTCTAGTGGGTGACATTCCTACTCATGATGGGAGTTGGAACTAGACGATTTTTAAGGTCCCTTCTAACCCAAACCATTCTTTGTGGATTCCTGTGGGCTGTGGATGGTGCTGATGTGCCCTCCGGAGGAGGGCAGAGGTGCTGAGCTGTTCAGCAGGATTCAGTGCTCTTACTGCAGTCTTTCCTGGGATGATCAGACTGAGAAAGGATTGAAACCCATGTGTGTGAAAGGCTGGCAGGATGGAGAGGGTGAGAGAAGGAAGCACAAAGGGCTGCAACTTGTGGAGGGGCTGGTTTTGGAGAGGATGGTGGTGAATGTGGAGGGACTACAAATAGGGGAACAGGGAGTGCACCAGGGCCAGTGTTTGGAGACTGTAAGAGGAATTGTGTTGAATTTTGGGGTGGGAGCTCCTGTGGGACTGCAGGAGCGTGAGCGGGCTGTGCAAAGGGTGGGGGACTGCGGTGCTCGGAGCAGCACTGGCATTCCCCTGGGGACAGCAGCCCCGGAGGCTTCTGCACTGCTCCCACTTCCCCTTCCTAGAGAGAACATGCAGCTTGCTGTAATTTTCTCTTATCTTCTCAGAAAACGAGGTGAATTCTCTGAAATAACTTGCCGTTCCTTCCAACCCTCCTTGGAATGTTTTCAAATGTGCTTTGCTCTGTTTCCTTACTTAGTTCTGTAGTTGTGGTGAAATGCTCCCTAGGCCATATGGGGCTGCTTGGAGGCTTCATCCTAAAGTTGAGTTCTGAGTGTTGGTTTTGTCCTTGACCCAATACTTTAACAAATTTGGTTTTATTTTTTGAGTTTTCCCCAGTTGCTTTCTTTCCTATCTCTTTTTCTTGGGAAAACAAACCAACAAAAAAGAAAAAACCCTCCTAAATATTTCAAAGCTGAGTATTGCAAAGGAGGCCTCTCATCCATACCCTGTTTTCTCCCCCACAGTCTGCGGTAGCTGCTAATTCACATTTGGTTAAGCAATTAATCAGGATATAAATAATACATACCATGTTTTCAGAAAACTGCATGCCAGTGCTATGGAGGCAGGCACTTTCGGCCCAGGCGGGGAGGGCTTGCCTTCTGTGCTCTGTAGCCCCCTAAGGCCAATTAAGGTGCATCCTTGATGAGATTCCAGCCGTTCCTTGGCTGGATAAATAGTTGCTCTGATGCAGGGAGGGGGGCCAAAGCACGTGAAGATAAAGGGGGGTTTAGTGTTCAAACAGCTGCAGTGAGCACTGGCGCCCAAACATTCCCCTCCTCCCCTTGTGTGTGGGCTGGAGCTGGACCAGCAGGACCAAAGGGACAGTGCAGGCACCAGTGGCAGCTTGTGGGAGACCTGTGAGTCTGCTGCATCCAGGGCAAAGACTCCATAGTGTGTCCTTTGCCTTCTGCCTTAGTCCTGTAAAGGTCTTTTCTCCTGAAGGCATGTCAACTGCTGATAAACGAAGCCATGAAGAGTGTCAAAAGTGTAGAAACCTGCCTTATCTTCCCGTTCCCCTTCACTACAGCTCTCCCAGCCTCTTGTGTGAGCCCAGGGAATGGTGTCTTTGGTATTTCTTGTTTCAAGGATGGTGTTTATTTAAATGCAGTAAGGAGCACTAAAGTGGCTGGCAGGAGGAATAAATGTTTCTGTGACAGTTTGGGTGGAGATTTGGAAAAGGCACTTCAAGTTACAAAACAAGTATAAAAACCATTAAGAAAAAAGTGAGCAAAAAAACCAAATCCAGAGTCAACAGACTCTGGAGGCCACCAGATTTCAGCTCTGTCTTTCACATTCACAGCTGTGTATTTGCTCCATAGCAGGGCAGTAAGAACAGGAATAATTGAGTTTGGGATAAACTGGGCTTTGCAGTGGGATTTCAAAAGCTCCCTGCGGCATGTTTGAATATCCAAGGCTGCTGAATGGTCCTTAAGCTCTGCCCCTGGTGTTCCTGTAGGGTAATTTGGTGCTTGTAACAGTGACATTCTTTTCCAAATGTAAACTCTGGGAGTTTACCTTACTGTGGTCTCTCCTGCTGTAAGCTCTGGTGCAACAGAACCTCAGCTGAAGCGGCGCAGTAACGTGTGGAATGTTGTTTCTCAGGTGCTGGAGCAAGATGTGGTTCTCCAGTCTATTGACCGTGCCATTGAGGCTGTGCACAATGCCGCCATGAAAAATGGGGGAAAATACAACCTGGAGCAGAGGGATGTCCTCCAGTAAGTACGACGGGCACCTGGGAGAGCTGGTGGATGGAGGATGGTCAGTGTGTGATGCTTATGTGATTCTATCCTTGGGGGTCAAGCTGGACATCACTGATTTGAGCCCCTGTGCTGCAAAGTGACTGCTCCACTCTGAGCTTCCCAGCTGGCAACTGCTCCTGCTCCTCTTGACAACCGTGTCCAGCAAAGCAGAACTTTAGCCTTGCCCCTCTCTCCCTGTGAATGCCAAGAAGAGGAAACTCTCAGCTGCATTGTAGGCTTGGAGGAGAAATCCAAAACCTTTCTGGCTGCATTTTCTCTGCTCTACCAGCCAGAAATTGTAGGGGTTGTTGGCATGTGGCAGAAGGTCCTTAATATGTTCTCAAATAATTGCTTGTGGGAGGATTTTTGTTTTTCTATGACACCTCACACTCTGTGCTGAGGCACGCTGGTTTAATCTCAGTTGAACAGTGTTTCTAAAGTGCATGCAATTTCTGAAGCTTGCGATGCAATATGTGACTCTCCCCCGAGGAAGAGGCATTTTTTCTCCAGCGAACTGATGAATAAATTATGGGCTCTTGCAAAGCCTCTTCCTTCCTCCCCCAGAAGTGCTTCCTTAGTTGTTAATGAAACTGGAGTTGGTGTTCAGAGTAATGTAGCCCATTCTGGAATATATAACCCAAATGCAATAAATCAGTTAAAAATACAATTTAAATGTTGCAGCGCGGTCGCTCCCTTGAGCTTTGCTCTTCCTGATGTCATCATTCTGTTTCAGAAAACTGATCCATCACCGGAAGGAGACTGTGTCCCGCAAAAGCCACTCTCCCACCCCGCAGGGGACGGTTATGACACAGTCCTCCAGCGACCACCATCTGGATGTGGCACGGCAGCCCAACGGGGTGTGCCGGACAGGGTACGAGCGACACCACAGTCTTCCAAACACCGAGTTCGAGGAGGAGGATGAAGGTCTCTACCAGGTAACAGCGGCTGGACACTTTCTGGGCTCCTCCTTTGGTGGTGCGACATGGGTTGTCCTGTTTAATAAAATGCCTTTGCAGCTTCGGTCCCAAGTCAAGCGTTTGTGCTGCTTGCCTGCGAGTACAGCAGTGTAAAGTGGTGGTGTCTCTGTGTAAGAAATCTGGAACGGTCCCTGTGCCATTTACATTTGTGATGCTTTTTTTGAATCCTTGAGGGTCCGTGGTTTTATAGTAACATGTAAGATCCACTCTATATTGGGTGACTGTCTCTTGGCAACTTTTTAAAAGGATTGCAGGCTCCCTGGAGAATACTTTGAAAAGCAGTTTTGACGTGAGCAGCAGAACTCCCTCCAAGTACTGAGCTCTGCTTCGTTTTCCCCTTGTTATGTCTGCACAACAAGATCATTGGTCCTTAAGCATTTTATCTGCTGTGGCTGCCTATTTATACTGCTCAAAACAAAAAAAACAAAACTAAAGATCCCGCTTTGTCTGAACGTTGCTTGTCACGATGAATTAAAGGTAAATTGGAGGAAATACGATTTAGAGCAGATTTTTTTTATCTTGGTGACACAGAGTTCCAAGGTTACTGTGAGGCGCCAGTGAGGCTTCAAAGTAGCAGCCCAGGACGGATGTAGCAGTTGTTGGGGATGAAGGATGTGGCCAATTTCACTGTGTAGGTGTAGCTGGATGTTAGGGCTAAAGGCACCAAGCAAGGATGAGCACGGAGGTATTTTTTTCTCCTACAGATGAACATGTGCATTGTAGTTTTTCTTCATGTCTCTGGGCTGAGTGTTTGGAGGCAGTGTGTTTATAAGCTACTGATATGCTGTCACTCCAAGCAGATGAGGCTTGTTTTACACTTGAAGAACTGTGAGTCTGTGGAGATGAGAGGTAGCTCTGGCTCACGCAGAACATATCAATCCCTACAAACCCCATTTTGCTCCTTGGTATCTTTTTTGTTCCTGGGCAGGCAAACCAGCTCTATTCCCAAGCCTGTACATTATGGGCTGAGTGAATGGAGCACCTTACATCCCATTCTCCATGCTGATTCCCTGTCTTTATTTGTCTGTGGTTTGGTTGCTTGTCAGAAAAGGAGGAAGACAAATTCCTTGGCTGACAAAGAACTGTTTCTGCCTGGGTGGCACTGAGGATGCAGTCGAAGGGCTTCCAGCTTAGCCCTCTGCTGAAAGGGCTCCTTGAGATTTTAACAGTTCAGCTAACGGATTTCCTGTGTGCTTTGAATATACAAAGTGGAGGAAGCAGCATTGCTTTCTTCCACTGGTTATGCAGCAGCCTAAGAGGAGACCTACTGCAATCCAAACTTTGTAACTAACTCTGGAGAAGCAGAGGTCTGGCATGTGCTTTTCACTGCTTGGGATTTTCAGGTGTGTTCAATGTTTGCATCTGAAAACTTAAGCAAAATTTGAGGTGCAAACTTCCTCTCAGTGGCTTTGCTCCCAGGGCTGAACTGGCTGAAGCACTTGGTGATGGCAATGGTGCTGAGTCTCTCTTCAGCTCCTCTACAGTTAGCATAAGGTGGGAGGCTGGGGCAGTTTCATACCAGCTGTCAAAGGAGGAGGTTGGGCTCTCAGAGTATTTTAGTCAGTCTGCTGTGTTTGTGCATGCTCGGTGGGTTTGTGATGCTCATCTCAGAAACCTTTGCTGCAGACCAGTGTGTCTGGCTTGGCAGAGTTTGCCTGGAGGAGGTGGTGGGTGGGAGGTTGTTCGTTTGGTTTATTGTTTTGTTATTTTGTTTAAAGGTTCCTACTGTAATAGCATTGTTCCCAGGAGTTGAAGGAGTGAGTGGTGGTGTTCTCTGCCTGCCTGGCTGGGAAGGGAATGGGAGTGTTATGGTTGAGTCAGCTCTTGTCTTGAGCAGTGCAGGGAACAGAACCTCTGCTATCAGTCTCTGCAAAACGGAAAGGGGGAGGAAGCAGATGTGTAAAATGTGCAGATTTGGGGAAGTTCACGGCCCCCTTGTAGAGGCCTAGGGAATGGGAGTATACAACACAAGTATAGTTGCTTCCCTCTGGACATTTGGTAAGGTCCCTCATCTTCTCCCCTCTGAACAGGGGGGATCTGAACTGCAGGGACTCCTGCATGGTCACCTTCCACACAGCAGCTGCACAAATGTTTTCTCCCCTTACTTTGGGAGGGTTGGTGTTGTACATCCTCCTCTTGGCCCCAGGCAGGGGCTGGGATGTGGGGTGAAGGCTGGGGATGGCCATCAGTTATACCTCATGACTCCTGACCCTGTGGCACCTCCCAGCCTGGGCAGGCATTGGGGAAATTCATGTGATGCTTCACGTTCCCATCGCAGCCGCTTGGACTGTGGTGCGTGGCCATCTAAATGAGGCTGGCAGGGCTGAGCTAGTGTTAGCTGTACATCTATTAATTTAAGCATTAGTCTGTAATAACTGTGTTAAACTTGCGTGGTAAATTTGGAAGAGCCAGTGAGGCCATGGAAGTACTCCAGAATGACCCAACCCTAGCTATCTCCAAATAATGTTATGCGTCTGCTCTAAGCTCCGAGCCTGCCTGTCTGTTAAATCCCGTGCCATGTCAAGCAGCTCTGACTCGTGCTGTCAGCTCCATCCCTCTGCAGAGAGGGCTCTGCTTTTAGCACAGCTGAGCCTTCTGGATTTGGGACCAGCCTGCCAACCATGCGATGCAGAGACCCCTCCTGATCTGCTTGGCCTCTCTCAGCTGTGCAGTCTCTTTTTGGACTGACACGGATCATTTTTGAAGCTGTATGCAAGTATCATGTATCATTGCACCCAGAGAACAATGTGGGGTGGATTGACAAGAGCAGAGAGCTCAGGCTGGGAGTCTGCAGCAGTGTCTCGTGCTAATCCACCAGCTGAAGGGGCTCATAAAGAAGCGACTTCAGTGACATAGTAAAAGATTGGATGTATTTGGTGCTGGGTTGGAGAAAGGGACTGAGAGATGCTTTTTAAAAAGTCTTTGTGCAAACTGCTGCATCTTCACTTGTCTGATAGGGTCCAGTCATGGGCTGTGAGCACCTCACCTGTATTGTCAGATTTTGGCATCAAGTCTTGAACATTTGAGGTGGCTCGTGAAGTGTCTTATTTTCGCTCCCATTTCAGAGGAGGTTTCTGCCCTTCCTGAATCTAGGGGGAAAAAGTACATTTTTCATTCTCTTTGTACTGAGCTATGTAAGATAGACATATGTAAGATAGACCCTGTCTCAGATTTTCACTGTGGGGTGGCAGAGCTTTGTGCCCTGTGTGGAGTTACAGGCCTGTTCAGTAATGACAAGGCACAGAAAAACTTCACATCCAGAGCTAAACAAACCTTGAAAATTCACCCTTGTAATGGACTAAATTTTGCTACAGATTCCAACGGGCTTCAGCCTGGGTTACCTGAGACATTGAGGCCATCACCTCCTTTCTCTTCCTGTGCTGCCCTGGGTGGTTTTGCCCCAGACAGTGATTGCAATATCCCATAAAAACAGAGACATGTTTCAGGCAGCAGGCTCTGAATCACACAAGTCCTAAGAGGTCCCAAACTGAGTCTCCTGGCCCTGAGCTGTTGGGCTGTGAGGACTGGAGTATTGATGCAGTGTGCTCCCACCTGTCTTGGCTGCTGTGTTCAGTGACGTCCTACTGATCAGAGTTTAACCCTGAGGCTGCATCTCAGCAGAGTAATTCTGGGTGAAAGTGATATCGCTGATCGTGGTGTTTAGATCTGACAGGAAAAGATGAGTGTAGGAATCGGGATCTGGGGCTTGTGCACTGCTGGCTTGGTGTTCCTAGAAGAAGAGACTTACAGGAGAAATCCCAGATGGAGAGAATTAATGCAACTCCCCGGCAAAAGCTTTTCCCAGCAGGTCTTGCTATAGGTAGTGTAGTATTGCACAGAGGGTCTAGCCCTGTTTTCTCCCTGCATGAACAGAAGTAGCTCTGAAAGCATGGAAAAGGCATTTACATGTCTCCAGTCCTTGGCTTTGTCTTTCTGCAGGGGTATTTGTAGCTGATGTAATGGAGCTCTCCAGAAGAGTGTGTAAATATGCACTCTGTTTGCAGCCTCTGTGGAGCTATTGAGAGTAATGCGGAGACACAGCGAGTGTGTGGGATTGCATTTGGAATAAAGGAGGAGTAAATGCTTGACAGGTCTACACGATGTATGTGCCGTGTGTCGCTGAACACAGCAATTAAACAAGGGCTGCTTTGCCTGTCACGGGGAGGGGATGAAGCCAGCTTGAGTCCTGCTTTGTTCTTCTAGGAAGCTGCCTATTAATATTTGTCCTCCTGAGAAAACTTCCCTGAATGATGAGAGAGATGTAAGGACAAATGTACACACGCACACGTGAAGGAAGGTTTCATAACAGAGAATGTCTTTATCATCAACCTCCTTTGATTGCTCTGAAATGTTTCCTTATAGATCCCACCACAGGCCCGGCGTGCTGCTCCTGTCACCCCCCCACCTCCGGAGAAGCGCAAGAACGCACAGATTGCTGCTCCCATTAAAAGTAAGGACAAACAGCTTTCCAGATCTCAGGCACAAAACAAACACTGGGCGACGTAACAGCCAGGATGCCTGGATGCTTTTGCTTTGTGCTTAGAAGAGCATCCTAATCTATGCTGTAAATTCCTATAGGATTTATATCCTTATAAATATATCTCTGTCTGTAGCATATGTATAGCCTAGATTCCTGTAGGTTTTAATGTAATGGTCCTGAGCTGGTGGTCCATGGTTCTTCAAGCCTTCTTTGATCTGGGAGAGTCGGGGCAGCCTGATGCTTGTGGATAGGTGCCAGGTACAGCATTCTCCTGCTCCTCTGGTGTCTGTCGCCCTAGGAATTGTGGTGCTCTCCAAGGAGCAAACTTTCTGCCTGCTCATGTGGCTGGTCTGGCCAGTGCACAACCTCAGTGGTTCAAGATCCTTTTTCTCCCGCAGACTCCATGGTCATCTCCCAGCAAGGCAGAGGGAGTGTTCCCTTGCAGTGCAGAGGTGCTCACCAGGGGTGCTCACTGGCTTTTAATGCAGTCTCAAGTTTTGCTTTTAACTCCCAATCTGTCTGACACTTTCTCTGTACAGTGGTGGGATTTCCATAAAATCGGTGGCTGGTGCCTGTAGGGAGCAGTAATAATACCAGGGGCACACCTGCCTGTGTGCTGCCAACAGGCAGAGGAGCAGCTAGTGAGGAGCACTTCATATCAGGACCATGGGGCAGGAATTTCTCTATCTTCAGCGTGGTTGGGCTTGCAGAGGCAATGGTCATCCTGCAGAGTTGCTGCCAGCTTGCCCAAGTGCTCTCCTGTGCTGTGATGGTGATGCCATTAGTGACACACAGCCCATCTGAAGCCCACTCATGTCCCCTTGCGTGGAGCAGGGCAGAACTATTGACTTGCAGGTAGTTAATTGAGACCTGGGACTGGCACCAGCTTCCTTAATGGTACTTAATGGTATTGAGCCATTTTTCACTGTGGTAGTGGGAGTTTGCAAAGGTCAATTTCCTTCAACTCATTGTCTTGATTTAATGAAGCACGGTAGGAGCTGTGATTCATGAATGGTCCTCGAGGAGGAAGAGGATCAAGAGGGATGCTGAACCCCTGAGGGAGTGAAGGGCACAGTTTTCCTGCCTAGGCAGTGCTTGCCTTAGGGTGGAGCAGTGGATGGAGTGTGGAGGGCTCCCAGAACTGATGGAGCAGGAAGGGTTGGAGTTGCCTGCAGAGGTGCAGCAAAGGCATTTAATGTCTGTCCCATTGCTCCTTCCTTTGGTGTGGTGGGGAGTAATTGCCTTCCCTGGGAGCTGGGCTCCCCATGGGGTGCAGCTCCTTCTCTTCCAGCACTAACACCAGCTGCTCTTGTGAAGCTCTAGATAGCCCACTGTTTGCCCAAGTAACTGTTTTCATAGTCAGTGAAGGACCCAGATATGTTTCTGCCCACTAGAAACTAACAGATAAGACTTACCAAAACTGTATATTAGACCAGGTTAAAAGAAAGAAAAATCTTGCTTGTAGTGGATTTTTTCCCTTGGAAGGTGGGACTCCCACTGCTAGAGCTAGTCAAAACTGGAGGTGGGGGGACAAATGCAGTAGAGCAAATAATGTGAAGGCTTGTGAAAGCAGTGGGTGCTAGCAGGGCTGCAGGGCTCGTGATCAAATGTTGGAGAGTGCTGAAAGGGAGAGACTAGAAGTGTTGTCAGTCAAGTGTTTCCTTCACCATCAGTGCTAACCATGAGGTGTGTACAAGAGGGAGGTGCAGGCTGCTGTGTGAAGCCTTTGGTGTCTTGCAATTCTGAGGCACCATCATTCAGAAGTGAGGGTTTAGTTCCTGAATGCAGAAAAAGGCCCTTGCTAAGCCAGGGGGGAAAAGGCTTTTCTGTCCCTTAGTCCTGTCCCTCCCTCCCTCCCTTCCCCTTCGTAAAACACTAAGCCCTTTGAAGGGTATTCATCTCAATAGAGTTGCTTTCCCCTTTCTAAAGAGGTGATTGTATGGGAATGCTCCAGAGAGAACTGGTACAATTTTGCTTTGAGATAAGTGAGGCAGGAAGAGGAGTTAAACTGCTCTGGTCGCATGCACAATGAGCCTTTTAATGGACTGTGCTGTAGCAATTTGTTTTTTTCTCTCTTCCTTTGATGCTGTTGCTAAGGCATGTTTAATTGTTCCCTTTCAGATGCTGTTGAAATTATTCCTGGGTCAGCTTCTAGTGCCTCCTCTATAAGCACGACATCCCTGGATACCTTGTACACTGCTTCTTCTGTGTCAGAGACCATTCTCCCAACGGCCACCTCCAGTCCTGCCAACACTCCACCCCCTGTCCCGAGCCGGAGCGTCCACACCACGATCACACGCAACTTGGACACCGGCCCCGTGTCCCATTCCCGTTACGGGACTTCCCCAAAGGATGGGGCCAGCAAATCTCCCCAGTCCAAGCGCACTGCCCCGGCCCCGCCGGCTGACGGGGGGACCCAGAGGTCCCACGCTGTGGATGGGGAGAAGACTTCTCAGGGGAAGAAAGCTGCTCCGGCCCCGCCGGCGAGCCTGGACGCCTTCAGCAACCTCTGCCTGGAGGACAAGAAGGCGGCTGCGGTGGAGCCGATGCCACCAGAGCCCAGTGGCCTGGTGGCCTCCGTGCCCAAGACGATAGGTGCCGAACTGATCGAGCTGGTGCGCAGGAACACCCACCTCAGCTACGAGCTGTCCCGCGTCGCCATCGGCATCATCATCGGCCACATCCAGACCTCCATCCCCGCCACCAGCAGCATCATGGAGCAGATTCTCATCTCCGTGGTGGAGAGTAAGGTAATGCCTCTGGGGCTGGGCTGGGGACTGCTGCAAACCACCTCCTGGCATCGAGGGTGAGGTGTTGTGAGCTCCTGATGTTCGGGATGAGAAATGCAGTGAGATCCCAAAGGAAAGGTGCTAGAGGGGGATAATTGTCTAGCCAAAGGAACCAGGGTCCAAGTACTGGTAGAATTGGAAAACAAATGAGTTTATTCCCCAGATGAGCTGCAGGTGTATGACATAACCTTGAATTTGGAGCTGAGGGTTAGAGGTGGAACCAGCTGAGAGAACCCGTGGTGCTGGGAAGCACTGGTAGGCTGTGGTGGAAGGATGGGTGTCCTCTGAAACTGCAGTTTGTGGAGAGGGTGATGAGATAGACAGCAGTGAATTGAACCACAGGAGCACACCAGTGGGAGATGACAACCTTTCAGATCCCACGGATGGCAAAGGTGGCAAAGCAGCAGTGGGAATGGATGCAGCAGGACTTGTAGCACTGAAAAGCTCTGACAGGAGTTGTTGACCTCTCATTCTGAAAGATCACAGATCTTTACGTGGCAGCATAAAATCAGAGAAAGAAATAAATAGTGACTTTTAAAAGAGGTATGTTCTGTTATAACCATGACAAATAGAAGCTGAGGAAGATGGAGCCTGCAACATAAGAGCTTCTGTATAGAAACCTTTTATAAAATAATGAATTGTAGAAACTTCTCCTATGGTGCTGCACGTCCTCTGTGTACATTCAGCATGCCTATGCATACTATAAATCTGCACAGATTCTTGTCCCTTTGGATGATGGAGCACCCAAAATTTCCATATGTCTGGCCTGGTCTTTCATCACAGCAATGAAAACTGGTTTCCACAGAATGTGAACCTCTCTGTTCTGTAACACATGCCTCAGCCCTGCGTTTTTTAAAGACTGCGGAAGAGTAGTTTTTCAGCCACTGAAGAGCACTGTCCTGAGCTTGTTCTAAATAAACCTTATGCCAAAATAATCCTGTATTCCTCCCTCTTCTGCAGCAGTCATTGAAATGGTGAAGTGCACCTGGGCAGCCGCCTGCTTTAGTTTGGAGGGATAATAAATTTCAGCTCCCACTTGCTGAATGCAACCCTGAGGAGTAAGCGTCATATAAACATCTAAGATTGGAATTCCATTGCTAATGGCAAGATTATAATGAACAGTTCAGAGGTATTTGAATATGGAAAACTAATGAATTCAAATTTTAGATCAAATCATATTCTGGTTGACTGTCTGCACTGAATAGAGGGTCCTGTAAGCAATCATCAAGTCTCTGTTTGTGGCCATAACCCAACAGTTAATTACTTCCTACTCCAATTACAATGCCCTGTCAATGTGTGATCTAGATTCAGCAAAAAAATTTAGCTGTTTCAAGCAAATGTTCCGGCTCTGACTTGAGTGCTGAGAAGTTCAGTTTTCTGTTACTTGGACCTTGTCCAAGATTTGAATACTATTTTTATTGTTAATACCTGTACTCGGGATACAATAAGCTTAATTCCACAGAAGTCATTTAGTGCCAGGTTTCTGCAGAGGGGATTTGAAAACCTCAATTTCATGGCCATTGCTGCAGACCAGCCTGAAAAAGATGGTAAGAAATTCTGATGCTGGTGCAGGGACAAATATGGATCTACTCATATCTGGTACAATATCTGTAACCTAGGACATCTGTGGGACCTTAAAATGACCAGTTGTGTATAGAGACGCAGCAGAAGGTCCTGTCCCATCTCATAATACCTTGTCACACCTATCTTGAGCAGTATAGCTTTTAGGAGAGCCCAGATGAGCTTGCAGAGTGCTCAAGTGTAAATGTTGTGGTTGTGCATTTTTCCTCAGTGTCCCACACAGAGGATGTAGCTCTGCTGATATGTGGGGGCCTGGTCCCAGGTGAGGTTGTTCACCTGGTGTAGAAGACCAGCTCTAGCAGTTGGAAGGGCAGTCATGTGTCCTTGTAGGGTGGTTGTACTGCCATAGCTTCACCAGTGTAGTTTAAAGATACAAATTATTATCGTTGACTTTATGCTGTTCATTAAACCAAATCATTCCACATTCTCAAGGGTTTCTGCGTAGAATTGTTGCTGAGTCGTCAGTTCTAGGTCAAGGACTTTTTTTCTTTAATTTGTAACTTCTGAAATCCCTCTACTCCCCAGTCCATGCAAATATGTGGGCAATTCTCCTCTTGCATATTTTTCAAGGTTTTTTTTCTTCCACTCCCTAAAACAGAGCAAGATATCAGCTTTGATTTAAAGCTTTGGTCTGCTCATACCGCACCTGCTTCAGCCTTTTGTATCATGTTCTTTAATTAGTTATATCCTTTCTATTCCTATTCCAGTCTTAATTTAAAGTCAGCTCAGTGGTTTACTAAATCAATTCCAGAATCCATTACCTCGCTTCTATCCCCAGTGCCTTCTGAAGGTTGACTGGCAGTGGCACTTCCTTCTTATTTACCTTGCTGATCCTCTAGTGTGGAGTCTGCCCAGGCATGTGTGTTTTAAAGAATAAAAGACTCTTCTGCTGGGACAGCATCCTGCTCCTGCTTTTGGAGAGGTGACTTAAGGCTAAGATGGGGGAACAGCAGAGACAAGGAGCATGCTGAGGAGCTCAGACCTTAGGAAAGATGCTTTAGAGGTGCCATACTATTTGGGGAAGCCTGATCTGCAGGAGCAAAATTGCTTACTTGGCTTCCCTGTGTCAGTATTTACCCCGGCCTTGGAAATGGCCCCTCTTCTTGTCCCTGAGTGGCACAGTGACTGGGCAAGATGTGCAAAGGGAAATGAAACCTCTTTTCAAAGGCATTGCTGCAGTGACTGTCTAAACTGGAGCTGTCTTTCAAGGCAACTTGTTGAAAATTTGGACAGAACTAAAGATGCTGCCTGGTTTTTGAGCTTCTAGAGAATCACTTGGATTAGTATGTATTGGTGATATGTGATTACCTTTAGCTCTGCTGGATTATCTCCCATCTCAGAGGAGGGAGTAGCACTGTAGATGTCTTGTCTAGGGAGGTTGATTTTGAGGATTTATTAAACTCAGTGTGTGGCAGCAAAAATTGCCCAATGCACAAGCTGGCTGCTCCTTGAGAGGGAGCACTTAGAAATCACTTATCTGCTTCTTATTACATTAGCATTGCTGTGTTGTAGTTGTGACTCAGACCTATCTCTGGTTGCCTTAAATTTAAGCTTGAAAACTGCTGAAAAAGATGTGTAGTGCAGTTGGATCTTATAGATCAGCCCAGGCTGCTGAGCAGGGTCAAACCGTTCTTGGATGTGTTGGAGATGGAGGAACAAGTCAGGAAGTTGGTGTGGGAGGTGACATGTTTCTGGAGGGGGTTTCCCTTGTAAGTGCTGGGCTGTGACCTGCTCCGAGCTGCCCATCACCAGCCCCTGTTGTCCCCAACAAGCTCTGAAAAAGCTCACGGCTGATGTGGCTGAGCCCTTCTCCTTCCCCTGACGCCATGGGGCTGCCTTCCCATTCATTCATTGATTCAGCTTTGCTGAAAGGAGACTTGCTTTTGACAAGACACAAAAGCTGCTCTAGGGCTCAGTGTCTCCCCATGGGAGCTTTGTCCCCTTGCTCGCCCGAGAGAAGGGGAAGGTCAGCAGGGTGAGTGCTTTCAAGGCTGAGTCCTTTGGCTGGGCTGTTCGGAGGGCTCCTCCTCAGTGAAATACTGTAACAAAAGGGAATCTGGAGGGTGGGAGGAATACATTAGTGCTTAGGCAAGTCTTTTCTTTGCTGATTTCTGGAGGAGACTTTATGAAGGTCCATGGCAGGGTCTTCATGTGCAGCCATCTCAGTTGAGCTGTAGTTGGGTCCCAGTCCTCCAGAGCTGCTGGGAACGTCTGTGGAGCAAATGTGCATTGGACTGCAGGTGCCTGGAACCTGCTATATGGTTTTGGGACTCATATGGAGAGAAAATGGTGGTAGATGTGTGTATCCATGGCACTGGTGATCCATCACACTTGGTGGGGTGGTGGAGAGGGAAGAATGGGAGGGGGTGAAGAAGAAATGGGCAGGACGGCAGCTGGGTTTGTATGGCAGGTGTGGTCACCTCTGAGCAGTGTGGGTATGATAAAGTTCCTAAAATGTTTTTGGGCTGCTCAGGAGGAACAAAATCCCTGCACCAGCTTGTTCTGCTGGGCTGGGGGGAAGGAACCATTCGAAGCAGCAAGATAATGCAAAATGGCATTGTTAGAAATACCAAAACCTCCTCCTGCTTATGGGCTCTCCAGCAGATTCCTGGAAACCACCATATGATGATGCTGCAGGTTGTTGTAGCTGCCAAGATGTTTAATGAGCAGAGACCTGACCCTGGTGGTGAGAGGGCAGAGAATGGTGCTGAGACTGCACTGAGACAGTGTGAATGTAGTTACACCGGTTGGGTGGAAGAGCTTGTTAGTAGATTGATCTCATCCAAGTCCATTAGGAGCTTGATGCTGGGGAGAGTTGTCAAGGGCTGCAGATGAAGGATTGGAGAAAGCAGATTAGTGATAAGAGGCTGAATAGAGTGATCATTAAAACAAGTACTCATTAAAATGATCATCCAAAAAGATGTCCCAGCAGTGTCCCAAAGGTAGGACTGGCCCTGCACTGCTCTGGTGAGGAGGATGCAAGTAAGGTACATAAGTGGAGAACCCTCCCAAGCAGCTGGGACACATGAGGACAGGCAGGTGACACTGCAGTGCTGTAGGTCTTCCTAAGGAGAAGGGGGAGATGGCAAGATAAAGTGATTCTCTTAATGTATTTGCTCTTGTGATAAATCACCATTCAGTGGAAGATTCTCTTGTGTTTGTACTCGGCTCCTGAAAGCTGTCATGCTCTCTCACAGCTGGTTACCTGCTTTTCTGCTAGACCACCCACGGCTGCCCAAAAACTTAAGACTGTACAGAGGCTTGTGTTAAACCAGCACAGTCTTTCCTTCATTACCTGACTCACAAAAATTATGTAACAAGCAGCAACAACAAGAAAACTTTTTCATTGTATAACTGAAGCATAGACTGCAAGTCCTAAATAATTCATACCCCAAATACCCCAAAACAAGTGTCTAACAATTCTGTCTCTAAAAAAGCAGGTGAGACACTACTGTTAAACCTGGAGTGGTTTTCCCAGAGAGGGCTGGAGGGTGGGAGGTGATCAGGAAGGGTGCAGCTCCTGCACTTGGCCGTCCACATGTGGGTGTGTGACTGTGCAAGTGTCGCCACTGCCCCTGCCTGCACAGCCAGCCTGTTGGAAGGAGCTGCACCAGGACAGGACTAAATCTTCTCTGGGTTTCCTGGACAAGACACTGTAAAGGCCCTTTCCCGCTGAGTGATCATGACTCGTTGCTGCATGTGATAAGACAGCTTCATCCAAAAATTGTTAAGAATTTGGTCTCAGTGAGTTTGTTTTCTCTGTTGTTTGAATTTCTCAGCTTGGTTCTCTTCCACCTTGCTGATCTCCTGCTGCTTGTTGTCGCTGCTGCTAGACCCTTGTGTGTATCATTTAAGTTCTTCTATAAATTAATCTTTGCCTCTCTTAATGGTGCCTGGGCTCATCACCTGTGACCAACTCAGTTCCATGTACCGAGCCCCCTTCTTGCCCTGATTTCAGAAAACCGTGTAGTTCATATGATATACTTGGGTCCTAGAGGCTGATCCTAAATCACAGAGCACAGCAGCTCTTGGGGCAGATTAAACACTGCCCAACTACTCCCCTCTCTTTCTTGAAGGAGAGGAAAAGTGAAGGAAAGACAACCAAAGTGTGAGGCCTTCATAGTAAGGTTGTGTATGAGGTAGAAGTGGTGGGGATGCAGTTGTCAGCAATTTTAGAAAGGAGTATGTGCAGTAAAATTTGCTGAGTAGCTTCACACTTCAGAGCTGCGGTGAATGGTGGCCCAGCTCTGCTGTTTGGAAGAAAGCAGAACCAAAACAGCCAACGGTGAATTGGTTCCTGTCCTTGCTGCAGAGGATCCAGACCTAGTATTGAACAGTTGGCATGTGAAGCACCATACAAGTGCTTGCTCTTGAGCCAAGGATTAAAGGCTGGAGGGAGTGGGCAGCAAAGGGAACTTCTCCTTCCTAGAGGCAGTTGTGCAGCGTGGTGGTTTGGTGTCCAGGACATGTCTGTTTTACTGGGGGTGCTCAGCTGCTGTGCAGCAGTGGTCCTAACTCATGCCAGATGGGTTTGGCTTTTCCCATTCTCAGGATGATTTTCAGAATCTACAGAGAGTAGAGGCTCCAAAAGTATGAGACCCGAAATAACATGTGTCTTAAACTTGTTTTGTACTGCCAGCTCCTGACTGAATGAGGTCAGCTGCCAGTCCTGAGACAAGATTGGAGGAAACAGGCACCCAAACAACACTGAGCTGTCAGGGCCCCACTAACCAGTGGCTTTGCTGTCTCTGCAGAACCTGAGTGCGGGGCTGCCCTCGGGCCAGATCTGCCACGATGAGCAGCGGCTGGAGGTGATCTTTGCAGATCTGGCCAGGCACAAGGATGATGCTCAGCAGCGCAGCTGGGCACTCTATGAGGATGAGAATGTCATCTGCTGCTACCTGGAGGAGCTACTTCGCATCCTGGTGAGTAAATTTTTCTCTTTACTGCCAGAGCAGAGTAGGCAGCCCTGGTGAAGTTCCTTTTTCTGACCTCCTTCACCCCTATTTTGCCATCAGATCTGCTGTTTCAGGGGGCATAGGTTTCTTGTGCATCCTTTACTGTCAGAGTGAAGCCCTGCTCTCCTATATGGGGTCTGCAGCGCTCTTGAGCTGCCTTCTACTCTCTACTCCACCTTACAGAGCTGTTCTGAAAAGTGTTACTGAGATATTTTTCATGGTAGCTGTGGTATTTACCTATCACAGGAGAGTATAAACCCTCACCTCCAAAAAACCCACCTTCTCACAGAAAACCTGGAAGTCTATGAGAGTTATTGCACTGCTGGGCCCATTTAAAACATCTTCCATTTAATACATCCTCTGTTGCTGGGAAGTATCTGTGGGGTGGGGCTCATTACATGTGAAGAAAATTCTTTGGCTGCCTTGAAAGTGAGTTTTAAAGCTGTTTCTGTGAGAAAGTACAAAGCATCTCACCATATCTGTGCATACAGGAGAGGTACATCCCCACGGTGAGCAGCAGTGGGAATACACATGCAAGCCCATCTGTGTCCAGGGAGTGTGATGATATGGGAGCTGCCCTCAGTGCAATGACATGATCTGTGTTAGGGGTTTGCTCTGGCACTGTTTTGTATTCCTCTCCAGTTCTGACATAAGCAGAACAGGTAAATTTTCTGTAATAAGCGCTGGGGTCTTCGTCACTCAACATACGGCCTGCGCCGCCTCGCCGTGGGCCTGCAGGGCAAGGCAGAGTGGGGGTTTGTGGAACCATTCCTCATAGCTTAGGAGTGGGAGGAGATGTACTTCTCAGGATGGGAACAGTGCTGGAGCTGCCCTGTGTAACTGTACGATGCACTCAATAAGGTGCTGCTCAGGTCATGTTTTAGATGTTTCCAGCCCAAGATGTGCTGTATGACAGAGGCGTGTCTCAAGAATTCACTTTGATGCAGAATCTGAAGGGTGGTGGTTCCTGAGCTCTGCCTTCAGTTTCTTTGTGAGGTGGTTGGGCTGCGGCTGCTAAGATCTGAAAGGAACTGGAATCCCTCAAGGTGCCTGCAGCAGGCACCTTGTGTCTTGATGTGCCACTGGGCTGACCTGTCTATTCCTCCTTCCAGACAGATGCAGACCCAGAAGTTTGCAAGAAAATGTGCAAGAAGAATGAATTTGAATCTGTCCTATCCCTTGTGGCATATTATCAGATGGTAAGGTGACAGAATGCACCAGTTCTCTCTTTTTTGAGATTTCCCTGAAGATGCAAAAGAGCAGGGTTGGTATGATGAATGTATATAAGATGTTTCCCTTGGGTAGGACAGTTCTGTGGTCTAGCTGGAGTTGCAGCATATCCCTTTTGAGTGTTGGCTAATGTCACTGCTATGCATGAAAATTGTGTGAAAGAGCAGACTTTGAAGCAGTAGCTAGCACTGCCAAGGGTAAAGCTTGCTGCTTTTACCAGCCCATTGAGGGACAGCATTGGCATCACTGATATCTAGAGGAAATATTTCTGAGGATGCCTTGGGAAAGCTGACAGGCTGTGACTGCTCCTCTTTTAATTGATGCACTCCTGTGCATTAGTAAATAACTTTGCTTAGGAAAGTGGGTAGTGAGTAGAAGCCTTGGGAATGAGAAATGAAATCAGTATTCAGAGGAAGAAATGAAAGTTTTGCTTTCAACGCCTATGCAGCATTGCTTTGCCCCTCTCCTTCCTGGAATGTGCTCTTGTAGGATTCCGTGGGGGTTGGAAACTTATTCCCATCTTCTCCCTAAGTCCTCAGCTACAGCACATCAAGTCTTGTGGCATTTCACTTTCATCTGGCACTTCTGTGTCAGAGCTCAGCATCAGGGGACTGTAACACATCTGAGAGCAGAGGGAAGGCAGGCGGGGCACAACAGAGCCTGTTGGCTTTCACTGCCTGCTCTTCTCTGACCAAGACTTCAAGGAAGCCTGACCAGGTGGGGACAGTTGGGTCTCCTGTCCTGGCTGCTGTCATGCCCAGTCCCAGGGCTTGGCTCACTTCTGTTCTCTGAACCCCTGGAGTTGTTGGCTGAGTTTGGAGTACGAACGTTACCCCAGCATCAGAGTTCCTCCATGGGAGCTGCAGGTTGAGCATTGTCTTTGCTGAAATTCCTCACGTGTCCCAGAACTTTCTGGTTATACCCTCTGCTCCCAGCACAAACCCAACAGCATCACAGTGGAGGAGCTGGTCCTGTCCTGTTCATTGACCATCATGTGCTGATGAGGGTTTACAATTGTGTTGTCAGGAAACGTCAATCAGAGCAGCATTCACAAAACCCTAGTGTGCTCAGGGAATCCTGGCTCCAGCATATCCAACCTGTTTGCTGGGGATGGGTGTAGGTTTTTGGTGTGTTATCACATTTAGTGGATGAGTTGGGGCATCTGAGATCTGAGCTTTGGCTGCCACATGCCCTCTGACCACATGTGCAAAACACCCATAGCCAGCCCAGTTGTGAACAGTATCTTGTGAACTCCTGTGCTGTTGTTAACAGCTTGGAGAGCTTCTGGGTTCACTGTCACCCTGGAAGGGTCTGAGGCTTCCCAACAGCGGGAACTTCTAGGAGTTATGTCTCTGCCTCAGAGTCAGCCCTCACCTGCGACATGGTTTGAACTAATGCCTTGTTTTTGCAGGAACACAGGGTGCCATTGCGGCTGCTGCTGTTGAAGTGCTTCGGAGCCATGTGCAACTTGGATGCTGCCGTCATCTCAACGCTTGTGAACTCTGTGCTGCCGATGGAGCTGGCCCGGGACATGCAGACCCACACACAGGGTGAGCCAGAGCTGCTTGTAACCAGGTCCCTGGAACGTGTCTTTCCATTAAATGATTTGCAGCAGCACTGATGGCCCCCCATTGCCTGGCTGCTCTACATGCCCAGTGCTCTGGGCAGAATGGTGTCTGATTTTAAAGTTGTTCAGGTTATTACAGCTGTAAATTGAGGATGCACAGGAGGGGATGTTTCAGTCCAATAGTGCGAGGCCCTCCAGCTCTTGAACATCCCATTAATGATCTGTGTCGCTTCTTGTAGATGTCTTAAAACACATTTTGAGCTGTTCCAGTTTTGTTTCATGATGCTGAGAAGAGACACTTGCAGATCTCAAGAAAGATCTCTGCAGTTTCTTAAAGAGTTTTTCTCAGCACTCTACACCCGATCGTTGTGGTGTTTCTCCCTGGTGAATTAGATGTCTGCTAGTTAAAGGAAAGGGCCTTCTCTCCACCACTGGGCCAAGGGAGATGGCGGTGTGGTCCTTTTCCTCTGCAGGATAGTGCCACAGCCCTGCTTTTCCCACCTCTTTGCTTTCCATACCTAGGCTTTGCCTTCAGGTTCCTTCTACTTTGTTCTCCTGCTCCCTTTGTTAGGATGACCTGTCACTGCCATGAAAAATAATGTTCTTCCTTCCCTTTGAGCTCCCTTTGCTCTAAAACTTGGTGGTGGTAGAGTGGTCAGATTTTGCTGGCGTCCCTCAGAGCTACTGTCTAGCCCAGCAGCCAGGAGCACAGGAGGAACCTGAGAACAAGTTGAACGTGTAATAATACTCCCCAGCTCCCCAGACATGCCCAATCCTGATCAGTCACAGCTTTGATCCCCATTTTGAAGTCAAACTGTAGGCCACCAGTGCTGTCAGTGTCATATATTATTTTTTCCTTTAAAGGGATATAAAAAATCCGTTGTTTTGTGCTAATTGCGACTGTTCGGTGACCATGTGGATCAAATCAGAAGAGCCTGGTGTTTGCAGCCTTGCTGCCCTGGTTGCAGTCTGTAGCCTGTTGGTTTGCTGCAGGTGTCATGGAGCTGTGGAGAGGTATAATTTGGTGATAAGACTGTAGGAATTGACTGGTCTGCACAGGCCAGGGACCGTCACATCCCTTTCATGTGAGCCAAGTAAACGTCCAAGGTGACCACCTTGAATTGTTCCTGTCCCCAGCTTCCCACCACAGACTGTGCCAACCTGACTGTGGTGGACAGGAGTAATGGGGCTGTGTCTTTGTGTCTGGAAAGGGCTACGTGAGGTGGAAATCACGCCTGTTGCATGGCTTTGCACTCATCTTTGCTCGGATGCTTTGAAATGTAGGCATTTCAGAGGTGAGGAGGGCCTGAAAAATAGTGTTTTGGGGCAGGGCAAAGGGCTGGTGGGATGGGGTGGGATGAATGACTGTGATCATTACTCCAGTGTTGTCTGTGCTCTCTTTTTGTGCTACTGCTGTATCAATTCATCTGTTACCAATTCTGTGTCATGAACTCATCACACTGTTGTTTGATCTGGTTACGCATGAGAAGCATCTTCTCCAGGCTGAGGTTTTCCTGCCAAGAAGCAAATAATACTTGGTTATGGGGCTATGACTGTGCTTCTGTGGCAACATTTCTCCTGATTTTTGTGCTGCCAAAAATAAACTTTATTGTGCCTCCATCACTAATTCACAAAGATAGTCTGCAGCTGAGCATCCTATGCACCATGACCAAACAGGGTTTTGTCTCCTGCCCTGTCCCTGAGCTGCCTTTGTGCAGGCAGGGCAGGCTGGTCACCCTTGTTAACCCTTGGCTGGTCACTGTGATGCTGTGTTTTGCCTGGGCCTGTCTCATCCCAGACAGCACAAAGTGACTCAGCCTCTTGGTGTGATGGAGCATTGAGCTCTGACCTAGGGGAATTCTGCACACCCCTGCTGATCTCCAAGTAGCCCTTACGGCTGGAGCAGGCCTGTCTCCCAGCAAGAGTTAGTTCTGCTTTGGGGACCCAAAAAGCATTGCAGTGGAAGTGGGTGAGAAGTGGCTCTGCTGTGTCCTCCAAACTGCCAACCTGCAACTCTGCAGCATCTCCTCTTTCCCTAACTTCATCTCAAGGTGAGGGTTTTTTCCAGTACAGTTGAAGGGTGAAAAGCTGCTCTTCCTTTGCTGACAGACTGCTGTGTGGATACAGGAGCCTCACAAATGGGTGTCCTGATCCTGTGCTGCCTTCCCTGTGCTGAGCTTATGGCAGGCGCTTGTGCAGTGTTATCTGTGCAGCATCCAGTCCTCTTGGTCTTCACAGCGGGGCTGCAGAGAAGTAACCACCCTTGACCAAAACAGGTCTGTCCTTCAGAGGTGTTTTAAGGCTTCAGTAGTTCCCTCCTACCATTCAATGCTTATGGCTCCATTTTCTGCCAGCAAATGGCAAGCAGTACCTTCAGTGAAAACATGACCTTGAATCCTTGAGCTTATTTTGGTGCTAAAAACTGGGGAATAGCAACTGATCCGTGACATGCTGCAGAATAGCTAATCCTTTCTGTGGTGGCTGGAGCCAGAGCAATCAGTGCCAGCACTATGCAACTGGGGAGTGTGGAACTGACTGCAGCAGCTCTGTGGGATCCCTCCTGCCTTATTACTGAAGAGCAGGCAAGGCAGAAGCTCTGTGCATGGATGCTGGGTGCCTTTGATGAGAAGGACTTTTCCCTGGGACTAATGCAGGCGTGTTGGCTGCTGGCCAATTCTTCTGCCAGATGCTTGGGTCTTATTGCTTCTGGACAGCCCCTTCCCTCTGCTGCAGCTGGCCTGCCCATCTATCAGTGTTAGAAGACCTTATAATAAGCCACAGTGAGTCAGAATTAGCCAGAACAATTCCGAAGAAAACAGACGGGGATAATCCAGTCTGTAATCGTGACTTTCTCCCTTGTTGCAGCTCAGTGTACTCGCCAGTCAGCTCTCAGGCTCCTCTCCCTTCAGTTGCAGACATTTGTGTCTGCTCCCAGGGCCTGAATTTTACACTGCTGTATTTAGAGGGTGGAAGCAAGGTCTTTGAAGGCCTCTGAGAAATACCTTTCATACATAATAGTTTCCTACCAGTATCTCAGCAGGCTTCAGAAATGAAAACAGCTGCATCTCTCCTGCCCTTCATGGCTACTTCAGTGATGCTTATGAGTCTGTCATCAGCAGTCTCTCTGCTTCAAGAGAACTGCTTTAATGCTATTTACTTTCTTGCAGCCACTGGTGTTGCTCTGGAAGGTAAAAAAAAAAGCTGTGTTTTGACAGACAATTACTGTGTTCTTTGGCACTGTGAGTGTTGGATGAGTCCTGCTGCAGCTGGGACACTCCAAAAACTTGTAGAGTCTGTGCAGGGTGAGTGTCCGTGGTTAATCTGGATTTGCCCCAGGTTCAGCCTTCTGAGTGGTTTCAGCATCCTTTGATTTTTTTTTTTTATTTTTTTTTTTTGTCCTTAGGGAAATAGACCAATATTTGCCTCCTAGTCATGGAGTCTGCTGTCAGCCAAGATGAATGGACATCAGTTAATGGCAGATGGGCCAAGGACATGTAAAACTGCCCTCTTCCCTTCCATCTCTAATTAGTCTCTTCCTCCATATTTGCTACAACCATGTTTATCACTGGCTTCTGGTTCTCAGTTCATTATTTCATTGCTCCTGACGTGATGAGAGAAAATGTTTTGTTGATGAAAGCCTTTCTAGGAATGTGGGAACAGCAGGTTCCTGTGTATTTGCAGTATCCTGCCTCCAATACCCAACTTGTGAAGCCATGGAGGAAAGAATGAAGAAATTGTGAACAGTTTGTCAGATCCCTTTTTTGCTACAGAGAGCTTTGGCATCACTGTCACCTTATAGCTGAGAGCTTCTTATATAAGTGTGAATTATAATTAAGTCATTAAATATCCTCCCTCTCTGTTTACCAAGAGTAAACAACCATTTCCAGCTTTCCTTTGCTGCCACATGGTCTGGAGTGCTCTCCTACAGAGTCTTAATCTTGTTAATGCTGTAGTATCTCTGGTTAAGCCCCCAGTGATCTATTTTTACTCAAAGTGTTTGCTATTTGAAAACTCAGGCATCTGGTGGAGCTCTGATAAAGTCTGTGTGTGCTTTGTTTATAGGGGCTTTGCTCACAGAGTTGACTTTCCAGGGGCACAGGGCTGGAATGACTCAGTAGCATTTTGTCCCCCATGCTAACAATGAATCTGAGAGCTGCCAAGTGTTGCAAGTCTTTTGGCCAAGTCCAGGAGTATGTGGTGACAGTGAAGGCATCTGGCTTTGCAGTCGAAGCCAAACTGCAGGGTGCAGGTGCTTAGAGGTGGGTTGATTTGTGCATGAAGAAGTGAAATACCTTAAAGCCTTTGGAGAGGGTACTGGAACCAGCATGTGTCATGCAGGGCAGCAGTACAGCTGAGAGAAGCATCATACATTGAGGGAACTTTTTGTCCTCTAATGAAAAGTAGTTTTGGTCAGTTTTTTTATAAATAGACCCTCAGCTTCCTTGTAACAAATGCCCCTGGGCTCTTTCTGGCAGATGCAGCTGGAACTGTATTTAACCAGTATGTGTAGTGACCTATACATAGTAATATTCACTTTCCTATTGTCTTCAGACTTGCTGAACTGGATGGAGGCTACATTAGATGGTGACACAGATCCTATTCCATGCCTTTTTTTTCCTTCTGCAAATATCTGTTGAGACGTATCCATTAATTAAAATTCAGGAAAGGCACTGGCAGAGGTTCTGGGGAACATTCACAAATAGCTGCTGCCAATGAAAATTGTGTTGGACTAGCAGGCTGTGGGATGTATCACTGCTGGAGAAACGTGTGGCCTGGGAGGTGGGCAGATGCACAGCCTGAGTCCTGAGCAGTGATCTGGTCTCCCCAGGGACCTTTTATACCTCCAGGCAGAGCTGAGGTAGCGAAAATAGAGCAGTGCAGAGATGGTAACAAGCAGCCTGGCTGTCTGGGGGTGGTGTTGGTTGGAACAGGCAGTATTTTGAGGTGGCCAGATGGATGCTTTTTCTGGGTTCAGCAATTACATAACTATGGGATGTGTCCTGGGACTGTGCAGGGGAGGTTTTTAATTATTCAGATTAAGTTTGCCTAGATCCTCTGAAGTGGAGAGGAAAAAAAATCAAGGATTCTTGTTGTGATTATTTTTAAATTGCTTTGGAAACACATGGCACAGAAGGCGTGTGGTGTGCTAAAACAGGGGGAAAAACACCCTTACAGCTCAGTCAACACAGGACTGAGGAGCAGGCTAACCAGTGTTAAATGTCTGTACTAAATGTGTGGCTTCCCAGCTGCAGCTGTGGAGCAGTTTCACTCCCTCAGAAGAACTAATGGCAGGACCTTTGTCTTGCAGATCATCAGAAGATGTGCTACTCTGCCCTGGTGCTGGCCATGATGTTCTCCATGGGGGAGCCCCTGCCATATCACCACTATGGTAAGAGTGGGTTGTGCTCACAGCTTGGCAGGACAGCAGAGCTGATGGTGGGACATCTGGGGCGTGCTGGCAGACACAGGGAAGGGACCTTTGGCCAAGGTGGGGACAGCTCAGTGGAAGGCTCAGCAAGGGTAGGGTCTGTCCTTTGTCAGTGGAGCCTGGCAGCTGAAGCACTGGGCTGAGATGCCAGATTTGCAGCAGCACACTGCTCTAACTCTGGGTTAGAGCAGTGGAGGACTGAATGCCATACTGTAGAAGACGTGGATTTGCCCATCACTGTAACTAGGTGGCATTTTGGTTTACCTCTGGCCTCTGTGAAAGCACACACTTCTTACTTGCTTTAGAGACTGTCTGCTGATGAGACTGAGATCCCAGATCCCTCCATGAACGCCCACTAAGGCTGTCAGCTGCATCATGTGGCCTCTTTCTGGTCTCTCTTCTAACAGAATAGTGCAGACCTGTGTAGTTTAAGCTCTTAGGGAAAGTGGAGATGATTAAGGGTTTTGCAGTCAATAATGAATTGTAAATGTTCTGCCTGTTTTCTCCTCTGTCTTTTCAGCCTTCAGCCAGAAAGCCCTTGACTGCTTCTAGCCAAGGCTATGTTTTGTTCCCTGTACTTGGGAAACTCTGGGCTTAGTTTTCCTAGAAATGCAGTAGAGACTTTTATAAGTATCTCCTCAGCACCTTTACTTAACACCCAGTAAACACATAAAAGATTTAAACTGATGCAATAGAGACCAGAGTGAGCTTCCACACCTCCTGCTTTTCTCTCCTCATGTAACCCTGGCAATTATTTCCTGCAGGTGGACTTATTTGCATGAGCTCCTGAGCTTTCCTAATAGCTAAATTGAAAAAAGGGTTATTACTAATGATCTAGATTATTAGGGGTTTTTTTAAATAGATTAATTAAACCAGTGGTCAAGAATACAAATCTTTTCCTACCTTGAAGCCTTCACTGACAGCAGTGGTGCTGAAACAGTTAGAGCAGGATTTGGTGTTTTATTTACTCAAAAAAAATTGCCAATGGGGGACCAAATTTCACTGTTCCCTTGCACCATGGACAGTTCTCTGAGCCACTTCTCTTACACAAAGACACTTCAGTGGTCTGTCTAGTCCACTTGTAGGGCTGTTCATTCCCTGGAGGCTGACATTAGCACTCCACTAATGGTTTTCAAGCATAAAAGCACAGAGAAGGGGTCTGTGTATGGTCCCTTGTTGATTGGTTTATTTTCACTGTGCTATAAATGCCCCTTTCTCCTTGTGCAGAACATCTCAACTCTCAGTTTGTGCAGTTCCTGCTGGATGTGATTGAGGACGGGCTGCCCTCGGACACCACTGACCAGCTGCCTGACTTATTTGTCAACGTCCTTCTGGCCTTCAATCTCCACATTCCAGGTTGAATTGGTGCTGCTCTGCCTTGGCAGGATTTCAGTGGTCTGGAGTGATGGTGTGAAGAATGGGGAGGGAGAATCTCACTGGGTCTTGATGGTGCTATAACCACCCCTCCAGCTCCCCTAGTCTTGGGCACTACACTGTGTTTAAATATGGTGCAGAATCCTAGAGGAAAATATGGTCATGAGGACAGGCAGTGCATCAAGTCCCTAGAGAAGGGCACTTGCCCTCAACCCGCCTGTGTGTTTTGAATCCTGTTGGAAGATTGGAGCGTAGTTCCAGGTCCTGCTAACGAAGGCCACTCCTTAACCCAGAGTCTCCTGTCGCTCCCAGTTGTTCTGTTTCTCTTGTTCTGCTTCATGGCTTTATCCTTGACTTTGTGAAGACAGGGGAGGATAAAGCAGTGGTGACGTGTCCAGTAATTTACCTGTTATTTTGAATTGCGCATCATTAAAATTTATGTGAAAGTTTCTAATTTCATGTGAAAGTTGATTGCACGGAGACTGATTAAGTATATCTCTGCTGCTTTCATTCATTACCCTTTCCCACACTTACCCATATCCTCGCTGGCTGCAGTAATTAGGCAGTAATGCATGACAGGCAGTGTGTTTCTGGGGATTATTGCCCACCTGGGGCATAGCCGAGAGCAGTGACTTGTTCTCTGTTGCTAAGAACGTGTTAAATGATGTTCTGGTTGCTTATTAGTGGATTGAATTTTTTATTCCTCTGTCTGTAAGATTCATCTATTGTGCAGTTCACTGGTGCAGCATTAGTTCAAAAACTCTTCTAAAACCATATTATATCGATGCCCTTCAATATAAAGGATCCTGAGGCACTTTGCAGCCTGTGAAATATTACAGATCACAGAAATAGTCAGCGCTGTGCTGTTTGTGTGATTCTGAGTGCACACACACACATATGTTAAGGTCTGTTAGGGTAAATGTATTTTAGTTATAGCAAATCACCCCCAAAGCAAGCTAGGGGACAGTTCCTAGAAGAAGTCTTCAGCCCATACCCTTGCACAGTTGAGTGCTGGGAAGGACTTTTCCCTTCTGGGATGCTCTTGGGACCCTTCTTAAGAGAAATTTCAAGACTGAGTTCCAGCAGGGTTAGGTTTAGGGAGCCCACGTGGGAATCAGATGTACAGAGAAAGCACCAAGGCCCAAGTGTTTCATGTGCTGTTTCCAGATTTACTTCACCTTCCCTCTCCCTGCCCATCCACTCTGTGGGGCTGAAACTTCTCATACCCCTGATAGACTATGGTTCCCCAAAGCTCCCCAGAGCACTGATGTGAAATAGGATCCCCCCATTATGTGTTTTTATTACCATGGTCTTCAGGAAACAAAGGGATGTGCTAAACAGGTTTCTTGCTCAGTTCCAGAACACAGTGTGATCATGACTACAATAAGCAAGCACTCGAATGTCAAGACTTTCACAGAGAAGCTGCTGCTGCTGCTGAACAGAGGAGGTGAGTGTTTGTGGCACTCTTGTGTGTGCCTGGCAGGGGGTGCAGCTCATGTTGGCTCGGGAAGACAAGCCTGGTTCTCATTATGGGGTGGGATGTCAGGGATGCAGGTAGCTGAGGACCTGTCGGCTCAGGCAGGATGTGCTGCTTCCTGGTGAGTTTGTGAGGGTGACAGTCTGCACTGTTGAGGATGGAGCTGCACAAGGAATAAGGTGATGCTGATGGCATGTAGGAAGAGGGGAGTGGCCTCTGGGCTGCGGTTTCCATGTACTCCTGGGTCAGATCAGCCCCACCTCACAGCATGGCCAGCTGCCACCTGGGCAAGCTCTTGTCTGGGAGGAAGACTGGTCCTGGGCCACTTCTGTCCTTGGACAGGCAGGACTCAGTGAGTGCTGGCACACAAACCTCAGCCAGTGCTGGCAATCATTTGCCTTGAGGGAGAGATCCAGAGGGAGCTGTTGCCTTCCGAAATGCTGCCTAGAGTGCAACTTTGCATTTCGGAATCACCAGCAGAGGGTTAGCGTTGTGTGGGATCCGGGCATGGAATGAAATCCACTGCACCTCAGAGCTGTTGCAGAGCAGATTGCTGGAAAGCTGGAGATCTCCATAGGAAGAGCAGTGCCAGGTCTTTCAGCCTGTGCTGCACGACACTATTGTGCTTTTTAATACCTTCTGGAGCACAGGGGCTTTGCTGCCTGAGATTCATTTTGTTGATTTGCTGGAAATAACTCATCCTGGGACGCTTGCAGCTCATCTTACGCTGGCTTTAGTTCTCTTTGGGGTAACAAATCACTGTCTCCACACTATATCAGCTTGAGGGCAGCCGGCACCTCAGTGCTCTTCTGTCTGGCCTCGTCCCAAAGCCTTTGTTTAGCCCTTTCCCTGCCAGAATCCCTGCAGGGATCACCTTACAGTGAGGAGCTGGGTGAAGAAAGAGGGGGGGACCACAACCTAATGAAGATGCTTCTCTTTTGCCTGCCTTCCTGACAACTGCTGGCAGGGCTGCAGTGGCCCAGAGCCCTCATGAGGTGTGCAGGGATGTGTTTTGGAAGAGAACAGGATGTGGTGACTCATTTAAACTTGGAAGTGTTTCTTTTCTTGCTTCTGGGACAGTACTAGCCTGGTCTCTGGTGAAAGCTTAATTTTGGTACAGGCTCTGATGTGCTTTTCAGAGGGGTCATTGGACCAGACTTAATAGACCAGGGAGAAAATGAGTGGTGGCTGTTGAGCAAAGAGGGGAGGCACTGAGAGGCAATGTGCTAATGAGCTCTCACCTGGGATGGTAGGTGAGACATAAACAGTGATTAATGCTAATCATAATGAGTTTGGTCTCATCTTGGTACCCTGCAGAGCTTCCATCCTGATTACACACCTTCGTGCAAGGCACTGAGGTCTGCGGGCATGAATCTCTTCGTGGGCAGGGAGGGCCAGGATGAGGGCAGGGCAGCCTCTTCTCCAGAGCCAAAGGGTCTAATGAAGGGATGTACTCTGAAGATGGAGGAGGGGGGCAATGGGGAGCATGTGGCTTAGCACAGTCTCTCTGCCTCCCCCAGATGATCCAGTTTGCATCTTCAAGCATCAACCTCAGCCACCACACTCCGTGCTGAAGTTTCTGCAGGACATCTTTGCCAGCAAGGACACAGCCAGCATCTTCTATCACACAGACATGATGGTCCTGATAGACATCCTGGTGCGGCAGATTGCTGATCTCTCCCCAGGAGACAAGGTGCTCACACCAACCCATGGGCATTGGGGAAGGGAGCACAGTCCCAAAGCAGTGGTGTTTCTCCTGGCCCCCTGTAGGGCTTCCTGCTGCAGTCAAGAATGGAGTCTTGGGCACAACGTTTCTGGGTGCTCAAATCAACCTTGAGAGCTGAGAAAAAAGGGGGGATTTATCCTGCCCAGCCATAGGCATATTAGAAGAAAGATCTGCCAGGCTTCTGGTGGTCTGCAGCCCTCTGCCCAGAGATCTTTGGGAATAGGGACCCTCTGTGAGTAGTAGAAGTAGGAGGAACCTCTCTGGTTTGGTATTGCAAGAGGCAGGGGATGTGCACGTGTTTGAGGGTGGGTGAGCACTGGGTTGCTGTGGGAAAAGCAGAGTTTTCCATAGTTACTAATAAGCCTTAAGGAAAAGCAGGTGCCTCTGGAGTCGTGCTCTGGTTAGTGGAGCAGCAGCAGCTGTTCCTGTGCTCATGCTGCACTGGAGGCTGGCATGCTTGTTTATCTCACTTTAAATCTTTCACTGTGCTCTGTGGTTTCTCTCCCCTCCCACTTGGCAGCTGAGGATGGAGTATCTGTCTCTGATGCACGCCATCATCCGCTCCACGCCCTATCTGCAGCACCAGCACCGCCTCGCTGACCTGCAGGGCATCCTGCAGCGCATCCTGGGCGAGGAGGAGGAGGACCAGCAGTGCCAGATGGACAAACTGATCATCCTGGAGATTTACAAGGAGTTCCCAGAAATCTCTCCCGGTACCAGCTAATGCTCCTCAGCTTGGACTGGAGTTTGAACCACTTGGATCGATGACGTCTCTTGTTGACACTTTCTCCCCATTCCCTCCCAGTACAGCTCATACCTTATATCCCTCTGTGCGAGGCCTAAGGTTGGGACAGCGTTCACTGGCCCTTTAGAAACGCCAGTGGCAGAAAGGGGCATGTGGTGCCCCCAGGGCCTGGTGCCCGGGGCAGTTGGAGTGGGATGGGCGCTGGCGCGTGGTTTTCCTGCAAGGCTCGGGCAGGAGCTATTTGGGCAGCTGGTGTTAGTGGGAAGGGCAGAGAGCTTGCGGGGGGCTTAGCAGCCAGTGGGGGGGTGTGTTTAGCTGCACTGGTGTCCCAAGGTCCTGAAGAGAAAGGCCTTTGCCTTAGAGTATTACTTCTTTTCCATGTGCATCTCTCTCCCTGCAGTGACCAAGTGGAGTCTGCTGGTGCTTGGAAGAAGCTTTCGTAACATCTGTTTTGTTTTCTGCTGCTAGTGCCAATGTGCTGCAGCCCTGCCAAGGGAAGGTAGCTGCTCGCTGTCTAACGCCTCGTCTAGTGAGCCTTTCACTTCCTCCTGGCCCTCAGCTTTGCCTCTAGGCAGCAGCCCACCTTGGGTCACGGAGGTCTTACCCCAGCAGCTGCTTTTTTCAATCTGCTTTCTATAGTGATGTTTAAATTTGAATTTCTTGCACACTGTGGCAGCCTAGAAGTAACAGCCATGTGGATGATGCTGCCTTTAGGAAGCCCTTGGCCCAGACACAGCACAAAGACGTGTCCTGCCAAGTGAAAGCTGCCGCTTGCCAGCCCTCTCGCAGCGTTGCCCGCGAGCAGAGGGGCTGCCTGCGGGCAGGTGTGCTCTGTTCATGAAGCGTGTGGATTTCTTGCCTTGAGCTTCATAGTAGCTCTGCCTCGCTGCCCTCCATCTCCCCATGGCAGCACTCGGAGGCAGTGTGAGCCTGGTGTCCAGTAGCTGTTTGTGACTACGCTAAGTGTGGGGAACCCTTATTTATATTTCCTTTAGGTTTCTAGTAAATGGGATTAACCTATTTGCCTGTTAGAGATAGTCACACACACTAATGTGGGTCTCTTAGATATTTGTGTGCGCAGTCTGGTCACTCTCTGTCCCTAGGTCTTCCTTTGCAGTACCCAATGTAGGAGCTGTTGGAAAGTGGAACTGGAAATACTGGGGACTTTTTTTTTTATTTACTTTTTTTTTTTTTTTTGTTAACTTGAGGTGATGACATGAGCTCTGCTCTGCAGGCCTGGACTGGCCACTGGGGCAGTGATGCTTGGGAACAGAGGGGATTGGCTTGGCAGCCAAGGGAGGCAAGGACCTCCTGAAGTCAGCCTGGGAATGCCCAAGCTTAATAACCACCCTAGTAGAGAAACCTATTTTTCCCCTGTAAAAATGTATGAATGTCAAAAGGGATCCTGTATTTTCTTAAACACTAAGTGTAACCTGCAGAGGAATAAAAATGTCTTAAACTGGATTTCTGTGAGCGTAGCCCTGCCTGCCCTGCCCTGTCATGGGGGAACCAAAGTGCTGGGGGGACTCGGGTGCCTGCTGCCCACTGAGGCAAAGCAGTGGATGCTGACATCCAAATGGGGGTAACCCAGTAGTTCTCCCACACTCACCTTCTTGCCTTGTGTTTTTCTGCCATGTTGCTGGCCAACAAGGAGTGGTGCAGGGCAGCAGCCCTTGCTGTAGGGGCACAGCCATCATTCCTGGGGGCCTGCCCAGTGTGGCTGCTTCAGATTAAGGGTTTGGCAGAGCTGGACTCAGCAGTTCGCTCCCTGCAAGGCACGCGCAGCCTCAGCCAGCTCCCAGCGGAGCTGCCGAGGCAGCAAGCCCGGGCAGGAAGGGTTTAATGGTCTGTATCAAGTGCTAATGAATTGCTTTGGCTGTGGATGTCTGCTCCCAAACCTCAGCCCTGCGTGCGCAGCTTTGGGGGTGCCTGGGATGGCCGGGGGTGCGTGTGGTGGGAGGGCAGTGGGCGCTGGGTAAAGCACTGCCTTGGCAGCAGGGAAGCTGGTCTGTGTGCTGAGGGAGCCAGCCAGGCAGTGGGCTCAGCCCTGGCCAGGGGTAGGGGTGTAAATGCCAGGTGCAAGCTGTGCCACTCCAAACATGAGGACAGCATCAAGCACAGCCGCCTGCAGAAATGGGGCCAGGGCTGCGTCCCAGCTCCTGACTCTTTGACTCATGTTTCCTAAGTGTCCAGGCGTGTGGCCTCGAAGTGTGTCAAGCTGCACACCTGGGGAGAATCACAACACAAGGGCTGCCAGCACTCCGTGGTGTCTCCCCTACAGTGGCTCTTCTCTGCCCCATTGCTCTGTGCAGCACAAGGTTGCATGTCCCCCTCAGCCAACCTTGGCTTGTTTCTGAGTGCTGCTGGGGCTTGTTGGCCCGTGCCCTGCTGCCGTGCTGGGATGTTCCTCTGGCACTTGCCCTCAGTGACGCAGCCCAGGCTTTGCTGTGCCAGGCAAACCCAGCAGCAGCAGAACCCAAGGCTGTGCTTGCCAGGAGCCTGGACTGGCAGAGCTGGTGCCTCCTGTCGGTATCCCTGAGCCATTGCCATCCCTGGGGTCACTCACCCCGTGTCCCAGCTGCACAGCTGGGACCACATCTGCACCACCACCCTGCTGCCACCGCAGCCAGGTCTGGAAGAGCTGGGGGGGAGCTGGCTGTGGGGATCCCAGGGGAAAGCTGTACTCACTGCCCAGGAAAGGCCTTTGCACATTTGCAGGAAATTGAACTGCAGTGTGTAAACTCAGCCCGCTCAGCGGTTCCTGCTCTCCATGTAGGTGACACACTTGAGATTGTTAGCTGTAATAGGGTGCTATTAGAGCACTGTCTCCGTGTATTGGTGTGTTTTTATTGTGGTGCAACAGTGAAGGGAGTTGGGGGGCTGGCGTGGGGGGAGCGATGCGTTGCCTGTGACTTGCGCTTCTGCTTTATTGTCTGGAATGATTCAATTACAACTATTTTGTGGCAGTAATACCCTGATAATTTTCTCTTCCTCCCCTGAGCTGTCAGCTGGGCAATTAGAACAAATAAACTTGAAAGCCTTCATTACTTTTAAAAAGTATTGCCTCTCTCCTGATTCAGTTTCTTGATGGTACATCTCCAGTTTGAGGGGGCGTGATGGATGATCCAGCCAGCATGTTCCTGTTGCACACGGGTGATGTGCTGCCCTCTGTTAGATGAGGTTTCTCAGGTGAGCTGTGTGTGGGGCCAGGGCTGCTCTGGCATCAGCCTAATGGCACCAGGAGGGCTCAGGTGGGTGCTTGGGGGTCTGGAGCAGAGAATGTAAATCTGGTGCACTGCACCTGCACAGCTGGCATGGCTTCAGCCCCATCAGTGCTGGTGCTGGACCAGCCAAGCCAGAGATGTTTTGTGGTGGCTGAGGAGTTAATCACAGCAGATGCCAGTCCCAGGAGTTTATAAATTAACATGCCAATGTCTCTGGAGGGTTAGAAATCCACTCCCGGGGACTATCAGCCCTGAGCATTGTGTAAGCACCAGGGGAACTTCTTTTCAGCGCGTGCTGAGCTGGGCTGGCCACCACTTTAGAGCTTGCTTGTTTCCCATAGTGGTCCTAAAACCCATACTTACTACAAGCTCTAGGGCAAGGAAGAGCCCTTCCTGCCCTGCCCACCCCATGGCTGCCCAGGTGATGGCCAGGCCTTGGCTTCTTCATGGGTGATGGTGTTGGAAGACACCAGCCTCACGTGGAAAGCAACCAGCCATGAGGATGATGCAGGGTGATTTGGGGACATGTTGGGTGTGCTGCAGACCCCACGTTGTGTTCGCTAAGTTTCCACCCTGGGAGTGGAAGCCTGCTTGCTGTCAAACCCCCGATCAGTGGGCAGCATGTGCTCATCCCACCCCCTCATCTACATTAACAATAATTTCTAGGGGACCATCTGTCACTGTCAGTGGAACCAAAGCTGGGTAAGAGCTGGTGGTGGTCGTGGTTGGGGGGGGAACATGGGGCATCAGCAGAGGCAAGGCACTAGTGACATCAGGATTCAGGGCTGCAGCTACAGCAGCTGGAGCAGAGGGCACCAGCATGGCAGTGGCAGCTGGACGCCCTCGAGGTCCCCAGACCTGCTGTGTCCTGGGGCCAGCACGTCCCTCTGACCCCCTCCTCACTGTGCGGATGGCCTGTGCTGTCCAAAGCAGTGTGTGGCTCTCAAGCCACCACTTGGATTTCTGCCAAGGGACTGTGGGACCTTGCACAGCCTTGTGTGGTTTCCTGCGGGATGGGAGAGTTGTTGGAGAGTGGGCGTGGCTCCTGCTGTGCTGGGAGTGATGGCTGAGCAGCGAAGCCCCATCTCCCCAGTCTGAATCCATCTCGCTGTTAGTTTGTGAGGTTTTTGGGGAGCTATGCAGGGGCTGCACAAGGGCTGCTCCCCAGCCTACCCACCTCAAACCAGAGCCCATCCAACACAGTGGCACAGGGGGCTCGTGCAGCCCCCTTGGAGGTGGGATGTGCACAGAGGCACTGTGCCTCCCATGTACTCCCTACCTTTCCCTACCCCATCCTAAATTCCCCTCTATCTCCCAGATTTGCCCTATTTTCCTCCCTGACACAGTTATTTCTTCCCTAGCGTTCACCCCAGTGTGCCCTCTCCTTCAACAGGACGTGTACAAGGGTGTCCCCCCACTGTGGCATGGAACGCTAATGAGGACTTAAACCCCTGCTATTCCTAAACCTATTACAAGCTCCAGTGGATTAGGCTGCGATATTAGTTGATTGAGATCAAACCAACAGCTAAGTTATGAGGCTGATGAGCTAATGACCCACCCCGGTGCAAGGGCTCCAAACTGAACTCTCCTTGGAAAAATGTTGGTTGCGTTTGGCGTTTTTTTTTTCTTTTTTTTTTTTTTTTTTTTTTTTTTTTTTATCACAGATGCAGGAAGGAAAACGTGCGACTTTCTGGCTGGTGCTGATGCTTCACCTGGTGGCTGGTGGCGGCTGAGATCCGCGTTGGGAAAAGGAGTGGAACAGCTAAACCCGCGCCACCCCGGGGGAGCAGCCTGGCCCTGGGGACGCTGGTGGCGGCACAAGGACCGTGCTGGTGCAGGGGCAGCGCCGCAGCAGCGGGTCGGCGGGGTCAGCAGGTGTGTGCTGTGTCATGTCACGGTGTCGGTGTCCACGGGCCCTGCGCTTTTCGCAGGGAGGCTCCGGGAGCCCCTCGCCCGGGGCTGGCCGGTGTCAGCCCCCCCGCCACAGCCGTGCCCGGCACCGCGGGGCTCACACCTCGCTGCAGGGCGGGCAGGGGCAGGGCTGGCACCGGCGGGCGCGTGTCCCCGCACGGTGCCCGGGTGTCCCCGCACGGTGCCCGGGTGTCCCCAGGGCCGCGGAGCCGCCGCCGCCCGCTGTCCCTCGCCCAAGATGGCGGCGCGGGGCGGGCAGGGGCGGGCGGGGGCGCGGCGGGGCGGGGCGGCGGGAGCCATGTTGGGGCTGCGGGAGGAGCCACCGCCTCCCCCGGCAGCAGCGGCGGCGGCGGGGCGGGGGGCGGCCGGCGCTGAGCGGGGGCGGCGCCGAGCCCACCGCCGTGCGCCCGGGCCGGGCGGCGGCCGCCGAGGCACCATGGCGGCGGCGGAGGAGCGGGTGGCTGCCCCGAGCCGCCGCCGCTGCTGCTGCCGCCGCCGCCACCACCGGGGGCTGCTGCTGGTGCTACTGCCGCTGCTGCTGCTCCCTTTGTTCCCCCCCGGGCTGGGGGCCGCCGCGCCGCCGGGCTGGGGGCCGCCGGCCCGCGGGGGCAGCCCCTCCGCCGTGCCGTGCCGGGCGGCGGCCGCGCCCCCGGGGCTGCCCCGCCGCCGGTCCCCGCCGCGCTGCCCGCCCCGCGCCGCCCCGCCGCGCCCGCTGCCCTTGTCCCCGGCGCCGGGCTCGGGGCGGCGGAGCCGGCGCGCAGCCCCGAACCGCCACCCGCTGTTCCCCCAGTACAACTACCAGGCGGAGGTGGCGGAGAACCAGCCGGCGGGGACTGCGGTGGTGGCAGTGGCGGCCCAGGACCCCGACGGGGGCGAGGCGGGGCGGCTGGTGTACTCCATGGACGCGCTGATGAACAGCCGCTCGCGGGAGCTCTTCAGCATCGACCCGCGGGACGGGCTCATCTCCACCACCCAGGCCCTGGACCGCGAGAGCATGGACCTGCACTACTTCCGAGTGACGGCCACCGACCACGGGGTGCCTCGGCTCTCTGCCACCACCATGGTGGCCATCGCCGTGGCCGACCGCAACGACCACGACCCCGTCTTCGAGCAGGGCGAGTATCGGGAGACCATCCGGGAGAACGTGGAGGAGGGATACCCCATCCTGCAGCTACGGGCCACGGACGTCGACTCCCCGCCCAACGCCAACATCCGCTACCGCTTTGTCAATGAACGGGCTGCCCATGATGTCTTTGAGATTGACCCCCGCTCCGGCCTCATCACCACCAGCGGGCCTGTGGACAGGGAGAAGATGGAGAGGTACTCACTCGTGGTGGAAGCCAATGACCAGGGAAGGGAGCCGGGGCCCCGCTCTGCCACAGTCAAGGTCTACATCACAGTCCTTGATGAGAACGACAACATCCCTCAGTTCAGTGAGAAGCGCTACATTGTCCAAGTGAGAGAGGATATACGGCCCCACACTGAGATCCTGCGCGTCACTGCCACGGACCTGGACAAGGACAACAATGCGCTGGTACACTACAACATTATCAGTGGGAACAGCCGGGGCCAGTTCTCCATCGACAGTGTCACTGGGGAGATACAGGTGGTGGCCCCGCTGGATTTTGAGGTGGAGCGGGAGTATGCCCTGAGGATCCGGGCACAGGACGCGGGGCGTCCTCCCCTTTCTAACAACACTGGCATGGCCAGTATCCAGGTGGTGGACATCAATGACCATGCCCCCATTTTTGTCAGCACCCCTTTTCAAATCTCTGTCCTGGAGAATGCTCCCCTCGGCCACTCTGTCATCCACATCCAGGCCGTGGATGCGGACTACGGGGAGAACTCACGCCTGGAGTACAAACTGACAGGGGTCTCTGCTGACACACCCTTTGTGGTGAACAGTGCCACAGGGTGGATCACGGTCAGTGGGCCCTTGGACCGGGAGTCAGTCGAGCACTATTTTTTTGGAGTAGAGGCTCGTGACCATGGCTCTCCGTCTTTATCCGCCTCGGCCAGCGTCACCATCACTGTCATGGATGTCAATGACAACCGCCCCGAGTTTACCCAGAAGGAGTACTTCATCCGCCTGAACGAGGATGCAGCTGTGGGAACCAGCGTCCTCAGCGTCACAGCAATCGACCGGGATGTGAACAGTGCCATCACCTACCAGATCACGGGAGGCAACACAAGGAACCGCTTCTCCATCAGCACCCAAGGTGGGATAGGGCTCATCACTCTGTCTCTGCCGCTGGACTACAAGCAGGAGAGGCGCTACGTGCTCACCGTGACAGCCTCTGATCGCACCCTGCGTGACAACTGCCATGTTCACATCAATATCACTGATGCCAACACCCACCGGCCTGTGTTCCAGAGCGCCCACTACTCTGTGAGCATCAACGAGGACCGGCCTGTGGGCAGCACCGTGGTGGTGATCAGCGCCACAGATGATGACGTGGGGGAAAACGCCCGCATCACGTACTACCTGGAAGACAACGTCCCTCAGTTTCGCATTGATCCAGACTCTGGGGCCATCACTCTCCAGGCAGAACTGGACTATGAGGACCAGGTCACGTACACATTGGCTATCACTGCCAAGGACAATGGGATCCCCCAGAAAGCGGACACCACGTATGTTGAAATCATGGTGAATGACGTTAATGACAATGCCCCCCAGTTCGTCAGCCCCCATTACCAGGGCGTGATCTCTGAGGATGCTCCTCCCTTCACCAGCGTGCTCCAGATCTCTGCCACTGACCGGGATGCTCACACCAATGGGCGAGTGCAGTACACCTTCCAGAACGGGGAGGATGGAGATGGAGACTTCACGATAGAACCCACCTCGGGGATCATTCGCACTGTCCGCAGGCTGGACCGAGAGAACGTTCCCGTCTACGAACTGACTGCGTATGCTGTGGACAG